AAATTCTATGGTGGTATCTCCTTCTTGTGCCAAATTGTTGACGGGTTTTTGTCATTTCTTGACCTCTCCCACAACTCTTTAACCGGGCAACTTCCTGACTGTTTGTGGCATTTCAAAGAGCTAAGAGTTCTTAATYTAGGACACAACAATCTTTCTGGAAGGCTTCCTGCTTCTATAGGATATTCGATTCAACTCGAGGTATTGGATTTATACAACAACAACTTTTCAGGAGAATTGCCTATGGCTTTGAAGAATTGCACAAGGTTAAATTTTTTGAATTTGGGGGCCAACAAGATTTTTGGTAATGTGCCTGTTTGGATTGGGGAAAACTTAACAGGGTTGTATGGTCTTATCCTAGGATCAAACAACTTGTTTGGATCCATTCCTTTACAACTATGTCATCTCATGTACCTTCAAATCCTAGACTTGTCAATCAACAACCTCAACGGAACCATTCCATCATGCGTGAATAACTTGAGTGCCATGGTTGACGGAAGGCTCTTGCAATATAACATTCATATGTTTAGGGGGAACATGAGTTTCGTTGGTACTTATGTTGACAACGCGATGATCGAGTGGCAAGGAAAGGAACAGGAATTCACCAAAAATCTGGGATTATTGACGAGCATTGATTTTTCAAGCAACAACTTAACGGGACAAATCCCAAATGAATTAGTTGATCTTCATAAACTGCTTGTACTGAACTTGTCAATGAACGCTCTTCTTGGAGAGATTCCACGAAAAATTGGTGTGATGAAAGAACTTTTAACTTTGGATTTATCTAGAAATAAATTTTCAGGAGGGATGCCATCAAGCATGTCTAACATGACTTTGTTAAGTTACCTAGACGTGTCATATAATAAGTTGTCAGGGAGAATTCCATCTAGCACTCAACTCCAGTCCTTTGAACCTTCAAGGTACACCGGAAATGCAGGACTATGTGGACTTCCCCTTGCAAAAAGTTGTCCTGGAGATGAAGTACCACCTATTGTTGGTGAACGTAAGAGTGGTGAGGAAGACATAGATGAACTTCAAAGATGGTTTTACATTGGTGGGTGCACCGGATTTGSTWTTGGATTTTGGATAGCATGTGGTGCTTTACTTCTCAACCGTCACGGGAGACGTGTTTTTTTTCACTTTGTTGATAGCTTGAAAGATTGGGTTTACGTAAAGGGAGTGGTGTTCATTCGAAAATTGCGCAGGTTTGCATATACATAGTGTGGTCTATATTTCCTTCTTTTTAACTTCTTTATTATCGTTGTTCTTGTTTTGGGGCTAAATATGGATTACTTGTATTTGGTAGGGGTTTTAAGTCCCAATGATGAATAAAATTGCCACCAACACCATGGGTGGCCATTTCTTTGTTGTGTGAGGACACCCTTTAAGGTTTCTATTGCATGCMCAACTAGCTCCTAGATTGAAGCAAACCCAGGGATGGTAAAAACATGAGTTGAATTTGGTAGGGATCGGTTTTGGTTGGGAAGAAAATGGTAACAAAGCACAAACATTTATGGATACTTGGATTAAAACATCATGAGTTGTTAAAAACCAGATATTTGATGCAAATAAGTGACGTTATAGTTTCAGACATTCAAAAAGAAACAAAAACACATTTCAAGATTTAGAATTTTGCGTCAACAATAAAAAACTATAGAGCCGCAAAACAGAAGGCAAATAACAAGCAGAAACCATTGCAAAATGAAATACCATTTGGGGAAAAACGATTGTAATACAAAACCTCGACTTGAAAGGTGTTGTAGGAAGAAAATACTATATTTGAAGGTTATTCGGATGAGAGATTGCCTTTGGGGATCAAGATTAATTCTCAACTTTATCGTAACTCAAAAGTAAGTTTCGTCACCATCGTAATTATACGCTCAAAATTGACTCAACTTGTGAAAAGAACAATTAGGCCCCACCGGAACCATACTTCTTTCCCAAAATGATGACCTGAAGCTTGTCGTAGCTAGCGAGGACACCAGCAACAACACAGAATGTTTGCACAAACATTAAATTGCCTGGACGAGTCATATGATAAGTTGTGGAGAAGATAAACATTAAAAGGTTCATATTTATTGTAGTGTAACATCATAACATAAACATGCAGTTAATACCATATCCTTTGGACAAATTTTCAACGTTTAGCTTGGATGCATGACTAAATACCAATCAATTTTGTTTTTCTTATTTTCTCACTTTTCTTGCTACGACTTGAGAATACAATTGCTGCTGCATCTCTTGGCACCCAATTGGCAGTAGAAACAGATGCTAATGGTGTCATCAACAAGTGCTTTGACAATGAGAGAGTTGCTCTTAGCCTAAGATCAAACAACTTCTTCGGACCCATCCCTATAAAACTATGTCATCTCGTGAACCTTCAAATCCTAGACTTGTCAATGAACAAGATTAATAGAACTATCCCATCATGCTTGAAAATTTTGACTGCCATTGTCCAGGGAAGATACTTATACTTGTGGAGACCGACATATATTATCCATTGATTTACACCCGTAATAACGTTAGCAAATCTACCAAAAACTCGGCATGACCTACTTATAAATCCGTCATTTGCCTGTTTTATATCCCGTAAATTATATTTACGTATACACTAAACAAATCCTAAAAACCAAAAGTGTGCAATAGCACAGTGTACATTAACTACTATTTACAAACATACACCAAAGGTGCTGATATCAAATCTATCGAATACTATTTTGAACTAATCTTCGGTCCCAAGCGATAGTCAAAGACACTGTATCAACCAATAATATTACCTATCAATGGTTACACCGTCAATAATATCTTTTGATCTTGATCCTGGGATACACGTCAAAAGATAAAAACAAATTAGGCTTCATGCCTGGTGAGTTCAAGAGTTTATATAATAAAACATTATACCAAAATATAAAAAAAATCAAACTGATCCAAAAGTTCCAAAACAATGCATGATTTATATTAGTAATATGCAAACCAATACATTACTTTAATCGAACTCAATAAAAGATGTGGTTATAAATTTTGAAACGAGGTAACAACCATCACACCACGTCGGGGAGACCCACAACAAGAACCAGAATCAGTGAAGGAGCACTACCCAGCAGTCCACTTATCCGTTAGGCTAATTTCGACATAATCACCATGTGCACGTTGTGTCTTATAGACACTATACTTATTAGCCGAGTATCTGGCACGATATGTGCACAGTACTCCATAAATACCGAATCGGAGCAACCCATCTAATTGTAAAGAGAGTGACCCCAATACAAACGCAACAAAGGGGGTGACCCTAAGTCGTCAGATCTGGATCTAAATTAACACCATATATGTGAGCAAACAAATAGTTCACAATACCTCATTTATACAAAGTTGATTTCAACAAAATTTAAATCAACGGCACGCTTCATAATCAACAAGTTTCAAAACATCCAACCATATTCCATATAGTTTCTCATAATAATTTAGCATGCTAGTTTTCACCTAAAAATTTACTTTGTATGTAAAAAGAAGTAAATAACCACATTTCATAACACTCATTTAAATCATGCATTTTTCAACTACATACTCAAACATATGCGAAATGAATCAGTTATGTAAAATACATAGATTTGACGTGTACCCAGTTTTAAGAATACTTGAACTCACCTTTGCTAGATTATGTTAAATCTAGTTTTCAACCAACTTGTACACTCTTCTTGCAACCTATACAACCAATATGTGATCATCAAATCAACATAACCACTCTAAACCACACCTCCAGGTGGGATATACTCGCTTGTTGGTTTGGTTTGGTTTGGTTTGGTTTGGTTATACATGCTGTATGAACATTGCAACACCTCACTTTTGGGCAAATGCTAACCTTTCCTTTTTCAAAAGGATTCTAAATTTACCTATTTGTTTACAAATAAGTTGTTGGTATTAATCTAAGTTCAGAAGATGTATTTTAGATATTTGACAATTAACATTTGTAGTTAAACTACGTATCAAGTCAAACATGTGAAGGGAGGATTTTATAACTGAAAATGGCATTCTTGGGCCTGAAGAAACTAAACCGTCCACATTAATCAAACCAACACCAACAATGAACGGAACTGATGGCAACCAGGATTACCTTTAAAGTTCCTTTTCTTGTGAGCTCTCCTCCTCTTTCTATCTTCCTGTGTTAGTTCTGCTTCTTCTTTGATATCTCCTTTGCCAGAAAATACTTCCTCCGGAGCCAGCATGGCAGCATCCAAGACTGCCAAAGGTGCAATCTACATCCACGAAAAAACAAAAAAAGATAAAATATTTAGCCAACAAAACCACTAATGGCCAGTACCACAGCTGATGCAGCATTATGTATAATGAGATGTTTCTAGAAGAGTTGATACCTCTTTCATTGCTAAAGCAGGTACTTTTGTTTGAATAGACATGTCTTCAATCACCTGTACAAGGGATTTCATTCGAATTAATACAAAAAACAAGGTTAAGGAGGTCAAAGAAGGGTCAAACATGTTGGTCAAAACAAAGATAAGCATGGATGCATACTGGTTTTGGAGTGAAGTGGAAATGCGATAGATCATCCAACTTCAAGCACAATTTCTTGAAAAGAAGACTTACCAAACAACATCAAGTGAAATATCTGTAAGAAACGACATTATAATGGAACATAAAACAATATTTGCAACCCCAAATGATTAGAGAACTACTAATGTGAGCTGAGAAACAGAGACTATCCAAGTAAACCCAAAGTGTACCTCCTTTTTTTGCTCATCTAAGACAGATAACGCTAGTGAAACCAGGCCAGTCTTCTGAGCATACTCATCTTGCAGAAGGATAAAAAGGTAAGTTTAAAACCCATATGACATTTAAATTGGGAAGAACCTCCCTCCTGAGAAATTATATTAAGACACATCACATATTATTCGTACTTAATCTGAAGATGTATTTCTCATTGTGTTCAAACAGTAATCTACCATCGCTCTTTTACTTAAAAAGCAATTTCCTGTGCTATCATATCACATATTTAGTGATTATCAATATAAACTGACTGTGACAGCTCTATTGCTATAGAAAACAAACGAAAATTTCTGCCAAGGAATATAAACTAGTGGCTGAGACTTCAGTTTTAGAGAACAAATCGGCTCCCAATGCAAGTGGTTGCGCAAGGTGCTTGATTCGACAAAAATGGTAAAGCTGTAATTTTCTTTCTGTGATACCCTTAGAAATTGGGACAGATATATTAAACAAAGCAGCCAGGGATTCTTGCATCAAATAAATCAAGCAGGAGATACCGCATATACTTCACCAAGGCCCTTCTTACTCTGATTCTCGTCCTGCAAAGTTAACATTGCAACATTTATTCCCCCAGAAACATATATAACACCACCTATTGAGAAGAACGAAGGAGCAGCTATTAGATACTGCCATGTGATGCTTTACCAGTTCCTTCATTTCTCTTGGTGCTTTAGAAGGTAAACTAGGAGCCTTCTGAACATCATCAAAGTGTCCCTGACAATAATACTCACAATGTTGCTTATCAGAAAGAGAAAGAAAGAGCATGCATGCATTCAGTTTACCACAACAAATATGAGAAAATGTTGAAACATAACTCTAACAATTAGTGGGATCTTATAATATATATATAATGGGTTACAAATAAAGTATATTAGCTATGAGCGGTGAGTCTACCACATCTAATCAAGTGCATATATGTCTGGGCATGCACTAGAAGGCATGTTTTTTATGCAGCAAGCTAGATTACTGACACAGTGACACATTTGCTTATAGAATTAAGGGGTTGTTTGTTTGCAGCTTAATGGTTATGCCGTTATAGTGGTCAAAATCCGAAATAGCGATCAGTATTATGATTTGAACTAGCGGTTATCGTGGTGGTATAGCATTCCAAAAATAATGGTTCATATAATAGGTATTTGAATTATAATATATATATATATATGTATGCATACATAACTTACCAGGGAGTATCGAGGATCCGAGTCAACATCATCTAATGCGTTCAATTTTATGAGGAGGCTGTCGAGGAGGAGGCTGGGCCTGAAAGTATCGAGCCCAAGTCAAAGTCGTGGTCTCGTGGAGGACAATGACGTTGAAACTTGAAAACCTAAATTTAATCTTATAAAACAAACCCAAATCTAAAATAAAGGCCCCAATCATTAAAATAGAACAAATCCAAATCTAAAAATAAAGGCCCACATCATTTAACCCAACTAAAGAATTCATAGTTAGGCTTCACCCAAGTTTATATCAAACATCAAAACATCATGTGTGAACTTAAGGTGTACGTAAAACTTGTTTTTGACATAAAGTTTGTTCATACCCCAACTTACCATCAAATACTCATTTTCTTGATAACACACTATTATTGAAATGAAGTCTTCAAACATACTTATTGAACTTTTATAGACATGTTTAGATAGTTCATGCATCAAAATCCTCCATGAGCTCCAAAGAACCCATAAAACTTCATCTTTTAGTTCAACCGGACTAGAACAAACCCATAAGTTTGAAAATCCTTCAAAATGCATATGAATTATTTATTTGATCACTGAAACACTTTTATCCACCTTTCATAACTAAGTCCATTTAATTTCAACCTTCAATTTCTCATAAAACTATCCAATTTGAGTTTATAACAAAACAGTTTGACTTTTAGAAGAAAAAAAGTCAACTGTTTTATATGCAAACTTGATTCTCCTTTCAAAGGCATGTTTGGATTAAATATTTCAACTTAGATACATCTTAGTGTTCCCAAAAAACTAATTACATCAAATATATTCACTTCTTTATATCAATTTCAATTTATGAACCCTAGAATGGGTTACACTATGTCTTGAGGTTGAAGACAACAAATTGAAAATCATAACAAGGTCACAATCTACTCAATCAAGTCGAGATAACGCACTAAACCTAAGTATAAAACCAATTGAAACTTAGTTATGTAAACATACCTCAATTTTAGCATGAAGTTCGAGTTTTAAACCCTTAATCAAGTTCTTATTCACCTCATCAACCAAAAATGGCTTCTTCCTTCGATTTGGATGCTAAAACTCAACCTAAGCTTGATATAGCATACTACGGTTTCATGATTTATGTGTTCTTTTAGCCCTGAATCGGCCGTAGCCTCTATCTCCCTCTTTCTCCCGTATTCTCATCCTATTTTTTTTCTTTTTAGCCTCATTTATATTATTACTAGTTTATGAAATTGACACATCAAACCCTGACGTTTCTCTTTATTAAATCTTACCCCAACATGTAACTATTTAACTCTCTTTTTATATAGAAAATGGCATTTGACACAACCCTTGCGTTTATCTCTACAACATGTTTACCCCCAAACATAAACAATATACTAGAATGATACTCGTGCAATACACTAAGATATATTTTAATTTAAATATTTTATTTTATTATTTATCTCAGTCAATGTTATAGTATGGTTTTATGTGATTTTGAAAAAAAACGATAATGTTTTTATTTTTAAATAAAATATAAATTTAAAAATATCATAAAAATTTGACAAAAATATATCGATATTAATATCAAATTAACTATTTAAAATTCATATTTTTGGTGTAATTTTTTAATTAATTTTTTATTATAATTTAATTTAGGTTCAATAACGAAGTAATTTATATTTGGTTTAATAATATAATTTTCTTATAAACATAATAATTAATTATTTTGTTAGAACTCGATAATAATCTTAATTATATTNTAATTATATTTTAGATTCTTTATATTTTAAATTGAGGTGTTTATTCTCTATTTAATTATATTTATCCGAAGTTAGTTATACGAATTCAAACATGGAGCTTTAATAAGTTGTATTTATATATAATGTACTTGTAATCTTGAATTTTAAGTAATATGCATTAGTATACAGTACTTCATGCATAAAAAATGATTTTTAAGAGTTTTTGGCAAATACTTTATAATATAGTATAGRTACATATTTCAAATTAATCCTTCAAAATGAGATGTCACGATTCTCCCCCTTTCAAAAGAAGATTCGTACMTGAAATCTAAGCGAACACAAACATTTGTGGTATTGTATTCTCTTTTCATCTTCAAGTTTCCATGTGATACTGGAAACCCCTAAAGTTTCCATCTAGGACTGTTAATGAGTATTGATTTGTCAAGCAACAACTTAACAGGACGGATCCCAAATGGATTGGTCGATCTTCATGAATTGCTTGTAYTGAACTTGTCGAAGAATGCTCTATTTGGGGAGATTCGATGGAAAAACTTTTAACTTTGRATTTATCTTGAAACAATTTTTCAGGAGCGAATATAAATTACTTTTGTCATTTAATAATAAAAATGTAACGAATAAAACATCTTTAAACYTTTTAGAGTAAAGTTCTTTTTTGGTCCCTAACGTTTGTCAATTTCAATGGTTTTCGTCCCCCCCCCCAACTTTATTTAAACAGATTTTTCTCTCACTTTTGATATCTCACAACAATTCTTGTCCCTTTTCCTAATGGTTGTTAACTTTTTTTTTCGTTAAGTCCATTTTATTGAGGGGCATTTTAGTCATTTTACATGTTGAAATATTAATTAAAATTAGTCACTTCAGCGGTTAAATTAGTTGCAATTAGATTGAAGTTAGCATAATGAAGGTAATAATCATAAGAAAATCGACCCAAACCTGATTACTCACTCCAATCGAGCCTTCATGGCAGTATAGAAGGATTTGTGTGTGCACTTGAAGAAGTATAAAACAGGGCTACATGCGGGCCAAGAACATAAAAATTGGACTGCCCCTTGTGGGCTAAGCCGTTAATTCATTTTTAATAAAGAAAAACTATTAGTATTTTTGTGATTCTAAATAACTCGTTATGACCTCGTTATTGCATGTTATGACACCAAGGCCTCGCTTCACCGCCACGTTAATCCTTCTAGTTTCACTCTAAGGTTTGGCTTCCGTTGTAACACGTTATGGCGTGTCATGGCACGTTAGGGCACCTTACGAAGTGTTAATTTGTAAGGCATGATTGTTTTTTCTACTTTTTTAAATGGCAAAATATTAAAAACTTATCACATTATAACAAGTAGTTAGATGTTTAAGAAACTGTTGGACGGCAAAAACCGATCAAATTAAATCAGATGGAACTATTTCTAGTGTTTTAGGCGGTATGGTGTAAAAAGTAGTCAAACCATGCTATTTGGTTTGTTTGTGATTTGGATCTTTTAACCAACAACCAGTTTTTGTATATACTAGATTTTGTGAGTAATTTATTCGGTTTGTTAATTTGGTTTACARAAAAAGATTAGATGTTAAAATTGAATCGATTTTTGGATGTTATATAAATGTTGATTGTTTAGTTCATGCATTTCTTGGACTATATRGATTGACAAGGAAGAGTTGGTTATATTCATCCCAACGTTCATCGACCAAATTAAGGTATCTCGACCTTTCCAATAGTACTTTTGATGGAATCATTCCCATGCTCATTGGTTCCTCGATCGACCGAATTAAGATACCTTAATAGTTTTGACTGAATATTAGTCAAAGATAAAGATRGTTTTTCCCTCATATACTGTTAATTTGATGGGTCCCGTTATAATTTTTTAAATCAAAATAATAACCTATCTCTCTAGTCTTGTGTCGTAAATCAGTTGTGTTAAGATTTATGGTTGATTCGATTGACTTGCTGAAATTTGAGAAGTAGAATGAAGGTAATTGGGGTTTACATATATCGGAGAGTGTTCTTCCTCAGTTTCAAATAAGTCCTCCAGCTATTTACATAAATTATGAAGTCACTATCATCCTTTCAATTCTATAGCAACRTATAGTTTGATTTCGTTTTTGAAAATCTTAAAAAGGAATCGACCGTTTCCAAAAAGTTACGCATAATAATTCAGACAAGGATATAAAAATAACAAAGAATGAAAATTTGAATGAATTTCCATACCTCTTTATCTCCCACGTTTCATTTGGTTTTACTTTATTTTTATTATTATGGAGAAATAGACMCACCCATAAAGGGGTGTTGCCATATATATTATCAAACAGTGGAGTGCTATCACTTCATGATTCTGTCTGTTAAACTTTAATCACGGKAWTTGTTATATGCATTTTCTTTAATATCAAAACCAGGTTAAATTATGGATTGAGAATGTAAAAAGTGAGTTTTGGTGTTGACGTATGTGAGAACTAAGAAGAAATTAGTATGTTAAGATGCATTTAGCAAATATACATTGTTTCATTTAACCCATCCCTTGGAGCATCCGCTATTTGCATTTTAGGATGTTTTGGGAGGTTTTTCAAAAATGAAAAACATCCTTTCGAGGTTTTTCTGCATAGGAAAAGCTAATCGCACTTATATACATTGTTAAATGCATCTGTACATAATGTTTTATCCTTACACACATTAACATCAAAACATACTTTTTACATTTTCAATGCATTATTTGACATGATTATCACATTGAAAAGGGTGCAAACARCATTGCCCTTTTCACATAGTAGCGAGGTTTTTGACACGAGTTTTTGTTGAGGTTTTTTTTTGTCTTAGATCGTAACTGTAAGATGTAYTTTTTCAAAAAAAATAATAATATTTAATCAATTTTTAACTCTTTAGAATTTTATAAAAGTTTTATATTTGACCAATTTTATTTATTAACATAATTAAAGATGGTAGGGTTCACGTGAGACCGAGAGTTTTTGTGAGACCCGTGAAACCAATTTTTGTTCATTGATCAAATTTATAAACTAATGATCTAATGGTTTAAAGTTGCACGGTGACAATTTTGTAATTATTGAGAACTCTCGTGGCAAATTTTGTGATTAAGAATGTTGAGATTATAGATCTAATCCAAGGGTTGAGAATTGGTCTTACGGGTCTCACGAAAAAGCATTGGTCTCATATGATCCCAAGTCTAATTAAAGATATGTATATATATACTAGAAGCGTACTCGCGTTATGCATCGAGATATATCGTGATTTTAATATTTAATTTTATTCTTTATCTCAGTTGATGTTATAATATGGCTTTATGTGATTTTGAGAAAGCGATGATGTTTCTAATTTTGAATAAAATATATGTTTGAAGATATCATAAAAAATTGACAAAAATATATCGATATTAGTATCAAATTAACTATTTAAAATTCCTCATTTTTTGTGTAATTTTTTAATTCAAATTTTTTATAATTCAATTTATGTACAATAACGAAGTAATTTATATTTAGTTTAATAATATAATTTTTTTATAAAGATAATAATTATTTATTTTGTTGGAACTCAATAATTATTCTAATTTCGTGAAAGATTGGGTTTATGTAAAAGTGGTTGTGTTCGTTTGAAAGTTGGAGAGGGTTGCACATATATAGTGGTCTATGTTTCCTTCTGTTTGTTGGTATGTTTATGTTGCTATTTTGGTGTTGTACTTGTATTGAATTTTAAGTTCTAAATATCTATAAAATTGTCACCAACACCATGGGTGGTGTGAAATAGGACATTTTTATATATGGTAAAGTGTAGAAAATGTAGTTAATGTCAGATGTTACCAGTAACTATGTTTCAAAAAGCTTTCAATTAATAACTAGCTTAGCGTGTATGGCTGACTAAGGGGCCGTTTACCAAACACTTACCCGGTAACTGCTTACCGGTAAAATTTAACTCTATTATTTACTTATCGGGTAAGATTTTAATCCACAAAAACGACATCGTATGCAACAATTTACCCGGTAAACGCTTACCGTGGTAAGAATCGTCGTCCTCACTTACCGGATACGACACTTGGTCCTTGTCTCATTCTTACCGGGTAAGATTCTTGGTCCTTACCATATTCATCCGGTGAGGTAACGTGACTTAATAAACACTTGCCCGAATAAGCGTTAATAAACGGCCCCTAACATCGCTTAATATTGGAAGCAACACTATTTTCTATAAAATAAATCCAATCCCAGATTAGATTCTTAAAATTACAAAATGAACCTAGAAAACGGTTGACCAACAACTATAACTGTTGTTGCAGTTGTATTTTGGTATCATAAAATTGTTCAAAATCATGCAAGACCAAAGTTTAGACCTTTATTAATATATTGATTAAGGGCTCGATGGTCATTTATAATTAACCTTAAATGAGATTTTAATTAAATCCATCACTTCCTGGTCTATTAAAGAAACAATGGCTTCA